GTGGTAGAGTGACACTACAGGATGGTGAGTGGTAGAGTGACACTACAGGATGGTGAGTGGTAGAGTGACACTACAGGATGGTGAGTGGTAGAGTGACACTACAGGATGGTGAGTGGTAGAGTGTCACTGCAGGATGGTGAGTGGTAGAGTGACACTACAGGATGGTGAGTGGTAGAGTGTCACTACAGGATGGTGAGTGGTAGAGTGACACTGCAGGATGGTGAGTGGTAGAGTGTCACTACAGGATGGTGAGTGGTAGAGTGACACTGCAGGATGGTGAGTGGTAGAGTGTCACTACAGGATGGTGAGTGGTAGAGTGTCACTACAAGATGGTGAGTGGTAGAGTGACACTGCAGGATGGTGAGTGGTAGAGTGACACTACAGGATGGTGAGTGGTAGAGTGACACTACAGGATGGTGAGTGGTAGAGTGTCACTACAGGATGGTGAGTGGTAGAGTGTCACTACAAGATGGTGAGTGGTAGAGTGACACTACAAGATGGTGAGTGGTAGAGTGACACTACAGGATGGTGAGTGGTAGAGTGTCACTGCAGGATGGTGAGTGGTAGAGTGACACTACAGGATGGTGAGTGGTAGAGTGACACTGGAGGATGGTGAGTGGTAGAGTGACACTACAGGATGGTGAGTGGTAGAGTGACACTACAGGATGGTGAGTGGTAGAGTGACACTACAGGATGGTGAGTGGTAGAGTGACACTACAGGATGGTGAGTGGTAGAGTGACACTACAGGATGGTGAGTGGTAGAGTGTCACTGCAGGATGGTGAGTGGTAGAGTGACACTACAGGATGGTGAGTGGTAGAGTGTCACTACAGGATGGTGAGTGGTAGAGTGACACTGCAGGATGGTGAGTGGTAGAGTGACACTACAGGATGGTGAGTGGTAGAGTGACACTGCAGGATGGTGAGTGGTAGAGTGTCACTACAGGATGGTGAGTGGTAGAGTGACACTGCAGGATGGTGAGTGGTAGAGTGTCACTACAGGATGGTGAGTGGTAGAGTGTCACTACAAGATGGTGAGTGGTAGAGTGACACTGCAGGATGGTGAGTGGTAGAGTGACACTACAGGATGGTGAGTGGTAGAGTGACACTACAGGATGGTGAGTGGTAGAGTGTCACTACAGGATGGTGAGTGGTAGAGTGTCACTACAAGATGGTGAGTGGTAGAGTGACACTACAAGATGGTGAGTGGTAGAGTGACACTACAGAATGGTGAGTGGTAGAGTGACACTACAGGATGGTGAGTGGTAGAGTGACACTACAAGATGGTGAGTGGTAGAGTGACACTACAAGATGGTGAGTGGTAGAGTGACACTACAAGATGGTGAGTGGTAGAGTGTCACTACAGGATGGTGAGTGGTAGAGTGACACTACAAGATGGTGAGTGGTAGAGTGTCACTACAGGATGGTGAGTGGTAGAGTGACACTACAAGATGGTGAGTGGTAGAGTGACACTACAGGATGGTGAGTGGTAGAGTGACACTACAGGATGGTGAGTGGTAGAGTGACACTACAAGATGGTGAGTGGTAGAGTGACACTACAAGATGGTGAGTGGTAGAGTGACACTACAGGATGGTGAGTGGTAGAGTGTCACTACAGGATGGTGAGTGCTAGAGTGACACTACAGGATGGTGAGTGGTAGAGTGACACTACAAGATGGTGAGTGGTAGAGTGACACTGCATGATGGTGAGTGGTAGAGTGTCACTACAGGATGGTGAGTGGTAGAGTGACACTACAGGATGGTGAGTGGTAGAGTGACACTACAGGATGGTGAGTGGTAGAGTGACACTGCATGATGGTGAGTGGTAGAGTGACACTACAGGATGGTGAGTGGTAGAGTGTCACTACAGGATGGTGAGTGGTAGAGTGACACTACAGGATGGTGAGTGGTAGAGTGACACTACAAGATGGTGAGTGGTAGAGTGACACTACAGGATGGTGAGTGGTAGAGTGACACTACAGGATGGTGAGTGGTAGAGTGACACTACAGGATGGTGAGTGGTAGAGTGACACTACAGGATGGTGAGTCGTAGAGTGACACTACAGGATGGTGAGTGGTAGAGTGACACTACAGGATGGTGAGTGGTAGAGTGACACTACAGGATGGTGAGTGGTAGAGTGTCACTACAGGATGGTGAGTGGTAGAGTGTCACTGCAGGATGGTGAGTGGTAGAGTGACACTACAGGATGGTGAGTGGTAGAGTGACACTGGAGGATGGTGAGTGGTAGAGTGACACTACAGGATGGTGAGTGGTAGAGTGACACTACAGGATGGTGAGTGGTAGAGTGACACTACAGGATGGTGAGTGGTAGAGTGACACTACAGGATGGTGAGTGGTAGAGTGACACTACAGGATGGTGAGTGGTAGAGTGTCACTGCAGGATGGTGAGTGGTAGAGTGACACTACAGTATGGTGAGTGGTAGAGTGTCACTACAGGATGGTGAGTGGTAGAGTGACACTGCAGGATGGTGAGTGGTAGAGTGACACTACAGGATGGTGAGTGGTAGAGTGACACTGCAGGATGGTGACTGGTAGAGTGTCACTACAGGATGGTGAGTGGTAGAGTGACACTGCAGGATGGTGAGTGGTAGAGTGTCACTACAGGATGGTGAGTGGTAGAGTGTCACTACAAGATGGTGAGTGGTAGAGTGACACTGCAGGATGGTGAGTGGTAGAGTGACACTACAGGATGGTGAGTGGTAGAGTGACACTACAGGATGGTGAGTGGTAGAGTGTCACTACAGGATGGTGAGTGGTAGAGTGTCACTACAAGATGGTGAGTGGTAGAGTGACACTACAAGATGGTGAGTGGTAGAGTGACACTACAGGATGGTGAGTGGTAGAGTGACACTACAGGATGGTGAGTGGTAGAGTGACACTACAAGATGGTGAGTGGTAGAGTGACACTACAAGATGGTGAGTGGTAGAGTGACACTACAAGATGGTGAGTGGTAGAGTGTCACTACAGGATGGTGAGTGGTAGAGTGACACTACAAGATGGTGAGTGGTAGAGTGTCACTACAGGATGGTGAGTGGTAGAGTGACACTACAAGATGGTGAGTGGTAGAGTGACACTACAGGATGGTGAGTGGTAGAGTGACACTACAGGATGGTGAGTGGTAGAGTGACACTACAAGATGGTGAGTGGTAGAGTGACACTACAATATGGTGAGTGGTAGAGTGACACTACAGGATGGTGAGTGGTAGAGTGTCACTACAGGATGGTGAGTGGTAGAGTGACACTACAGGATGGTGAGTGGTAGAGTGACACTACAAGATGGTGAGTGGTAGAGTGACACTGCATGATGGTGAGTGGTAGAGTGACACTGCATGATGGTGAGTGGTAGAGTGACACTACAGGATGGTGAGTGGTAGAGTGACACTACAAGATGGTGAGTGGTAGAGTGTCACTACAGGATGGTGAGTGGTAGAGTGACACTACAGGATGGTGAGTGGTAGAGTGACACTGCATGATGGTGAGTGGTAGAGTGACACTACAGGATGGTGAGTGGTAGAGTGACACTACAAGATGGTGAGTGGTAGAGTGACACTGCATGATGGTGAGTGGTAGAGTGACACTGCATGATGGTGAGTGGTAGAGTGACACTACAGGATGGTGAGTGGTAGAGTGACACTACAAGATGGTGAGTGGTAGAGTGACACTACAAGATGGTGAGTGGTAGAGTGACACTACAAGATGGTGAGTGGTAGAGTGACACTACAAGATGGTGAGTGGTAGAGTGTCACTACAGGATGGTGAGTGGTAGAGTGACACTACAAGATGGTGAGTGGTAGAGTGACACTACAAGATGGTGAGTGGTAGAGTGACACTACAAGATGGTGAGTGGTAGAGTGACACTACAGGATGGTGAGTGGTAGAGTGACACTACAGGATGGTGAGTGGTAGAGTGACACTACAAGATGGTGAGTGGTAGAGTGTCACTACAGGATGGTGAGTGGTAGAGTGACACTACAAGATGGTGAGTGGTAGAGTGACACTACAAGATGGTGAGTGGTAGAGTGTCACTACAGGATGGTGAGTGGTAGAGTGACACTACAGGATGGTGAGTGGTAGAGTGACACTGCATGATGGTGAGTCGTAGTGTGTCACTACAAGATGGTGAGTGGTAGAGTGACACTACAGGATGGTGAGTGGTAGAGTGACACTACAGGATGGTGAGTGGTAGAGTGACACTACAGGATGGTGAGTGGTAGAGTGACACTACAAGATGGTGAGTGGTAGAGTGTCACTACAAGATGGTGAGTGGTAGAGTGACACTACAAGATGGTGAGTGGTAGAGTGACACTACAAGATGGTGAGTGGTAGAGTGACACTACAAGATGGTGAGTGGTAGAGTGACACTAGAGGATGGTGAGTGGTAGAGTGTCACTACAGGATGGTGAGTGGTAGAGTGACACTACAAGATGGTGAGTGGTAGAGTGACACTACAGGATGGTGAGTTGTAGTGATCAAGGACCCATCTGTGAGGGTCACGCCCTGCCGACTGTAACTGATCCACACTGTGTGCAGGTCGTGACCTTTGGGGGGCCCTGCCAGAGAGGCTCTCGCGAGTGGCACCGTCCCGTGGCTGCTCGCCCAATAAAGTCACACGAACACTTCGGGTCGCACGTGCGCGTACATATGCACGTGCGCGTACGTACACGCACGTGCGCGTACATACGCATGTTAAAACTCTGGCTGTACGCCTGATGATGCTGGTTGTAACTACTGGCGAAACGTTATACTCGATTTGTAAATTTCGTGGATTTTACTGTCCAACACACCGGCCTGCCGAACTAGTAACGATTTGTGACAAACCTTGCTAACGTGACGAACCTTGCTACTTGGCTGTGTCGGGTGGTGGCGGGTTTAACGACACATTCATATCTACGCGATCTATCCCAAAAACCTCTACTATGTACGTACGTTGAACTCCTTACGCACCGTTCGTCGCCAACCGCGCCGATCGGGGTGCTCACCAGTTGAGGGCGACCGAGCGAGGGCGAGCGGACGAGAGCGGGGAGGCTCCCGCGCTGCGGCTCCTGTGGCTCCTGTGGCTCAGTCGCTGCTGAGCCCAGCGCACGACATCACCCTCAAACCTGGGCAGAGGAAGGCAACGGCAGGAGGGGGGGGGGCACAGAAGGGGGGACACGGGAGGAGGGGGGGGCACACAGAGGGGGGAGACACGGGGGGTCAGCGTCCACGCGGCGCCGCCAATCCCTCATCGTCGTCGGCGCTGCCTCGCGCGAGTGGATTTACCCAGCGGTCTGACGTTTCAGACAATGGTCCTTCTTCAGAGCAGGCAGAAATCGTCGTATTGTTTAGTCGCCGCGTTAATATTAACATCGAGGAGATGATAATGATGATGATGATGATGGCTGTCATCATGACGTCTTCCGTCTTCTGTTCCGGCAGCTGACGGCGAGTGCCGGCACCAACGTCTTCCCCTCGTCCTCGTGAAATAACGTGATAGGCAAAGACAAAGATCCCCCGCGTGGCCTTTAACAGGCTGTTGGGGCAAGTGCTGCGAGCGAGTGGCACCTATGAAGGCCGGCACGGCACACGACGGGTTGGGAGGCCAGCACCACCTTTGTCTCAGGCCCCTTTGTCTCCCCATTTAAGGCTGCATGGACCCAGAGTAGGCCCGGGACCGGTTCAGATATTGGTCACCGTTGTTGGCCGCGAGAGGAAATCGAACTCGGGTCGTCGGGTTTGTTGCAGCGACGCGCTAACCACGGCGCCACCGCTCACATTAGACAGAAAGACGATTGACAAGTGGACACTTCATCCTTCATGCTGTCTTCCCGAAGCAATGAGGATGCTGTAGGTTTTTGACGCGTCTGTTTGGTGACGGCACGCGTCTCAAACCCAGCTGACACTCGGTGGTTATGAACTCGCACTGCTGTGGCACCGCCTGTGCTTCTCTCTCTCTCTCGCTGATAATGATGACGATGGTAATGACGATGATGATGACGATGATGATGACGACGACGATGATGACGCTGATGATTACGATGATAATTATGTTGACGATGATGACGATGATAATGACCACGATAATGACGACGATGATGACGATGATAATTATGATGATGACGATTATAATGACGATAATTATGACGATGATAATGACGACGATGATAACGATGATGGTGATGACGATAATGATAACGATGATAACGATGGTGATGACGACGACGACGATGATGACAATGATGACGATAATGACGAGCATGTGTGGGCTTCAGCGTCGACAGACGGTACTTTTATAATACAGCGAGGACGTGGCCGTGTGGCTTGGGGGGGGGGGGGTCAGAGGGCAACTGAGTTCAAATCTGCTTTCCAGCCACCCGTGATTAAACCGGCTTCTCAAGCATATGTAGTTTTTGTTTTATATACGTCACAATTATCACACATTTGACTTGTACGTATGTATGTTGAACTTCGTTCGCACCGTACACAGCCAACCGTGCTAATCGGAGGTGCGGGGGAAGAACAACAAACTACACACATTGTGAGCGTTACTCGCTTATCCCAGTGCTTCTGAGCTCGTTGAATTGATTGGATTATCGTGGAAATCGGTTGCAACGTAACTGGTTGGATTGATGCGTGCCGCACATCACTTTTTTTTCGATGTTAAAATAACAAAAATTAAAGGTGCCCTCGCTGATCGTCGCAACAAACGCCCGAACACGACAACATCAGGAGCTCAAAGGTGGAGAGACAATTCAGAACAACGCGGCCACCGAGCATCCTGGGAAGAGGTTCTCCCCGCAACACACAGACCACCGTTCTCTTTCTCCGCCCGGCATTCTCCTACGCAACAAGTTCGCAGTTTTGCACGAGTATATTTTATGCTGGCGTATACAAAAAAAAAACCTGTAAAAAAAATGGCTGCCCACTTTCTTTTCAATATTACCTCCATCCCTCCTCCCTACGCCGGTGTCGCAGGAAATAAACAACTCAGTCGGACACATTTGCCCATGGCGCATGACCTCTTGATTTGATTGGATGTCGGGTGGCGGAGGGCAACGGTCAAAAGTCTCGACATCGTACACGCACGGAGATGTGACCCAAAAGAATCCCACTCTGAATCCAACCGCTGCTCTCCTATCGGACAGAGATGTCACATTCCCCCGGGGACCCTGCTCTCTCTCCCCCGTCCTGCCCCACCTCACCATCACAGACGCGTCACCAATTAACGAACGGACCTCACAAACTACGCCCCCGTCTGCTCCCCCGCAATCTAATGGCGCGCGAGCGCGCGCCTCGCTCGTTTGCGCGGCGTCTCGAGGTGCCCTCGCCCGCCACAGCCACGGCCCAAAATCCGAACTGCGTTGCCGTCGCGAAGCCACGAAAACGCACGGGGCCCAACCGACGCGACGGAGGCTGCCGGCTCCTCCGCATTTTGGCGCCACTTTCTTGCGCCAAACTCACATCCCGAAGACTCGCACGGACGCAGAGCGGAGGAGTCGCGGTGGGCACGCTCGGCTCTCGGACGGGTCCCCGACAGACGGACGGACGGAGGGGGACGGACGGTGGGAACAGGCGAGGCGGCGGCGGTGGCGGCAGAGCCGGTTGATCCCGCGGGGAGGAGGTGGAGCAACAATTCCCAGAAGGTTCGAACTTCGCGGAGCGGAGGACGAGGACATTCCACGATCGACGCAAGTGGCTCTGCCCACCGGCCGCGTCGTCCGTTCGCGTTTCAGCGGTGAGAGAGAGAGAGAGAAGATCCCTCGATCCCCACAGGCCCCTGTTTACGCTTCGACAACAACACCCTGGTGGGAGAATGCTGCCCCCCACCCCCCGCTCTGCTACTGTAAAAAAATTAGCGGCCACTAGTCGCTAATTGAGCAGAGAAACCTAAGGGTGCTCCAGAAGTCAGGCAAACAGACCGCGCCACTTCAGGATTAAGCACGGGGTGGAGAGTTAACAAGCAGAAAGTCTACACGATCAATCAATCACACCGACCTGCAGCTGCTGCTGCTGCTGCACAGAGATTGAAGACGAGTTGGCACTGCCGCCAGCTCCGGCTAACGTCAACGGCGCTCGTGGTTCATCACCGCAATCAGCTAATATCGCCTGCGACGCGCTCAACGCCAAATGTACGTTTGCACTTTGGCAGCGGTCCTGCAGGACTGAACGAGCTTACAAAGCTCCCAACCGCTTAACGACTCGTGGGGAAACACAAATCGATCAACGGGCTAGAGGACGGCAAATATTGTTTCAGGGTAATCGCTGTGGCGCAACGGTTGACTTCCTGCGCCACAGAGCGTCACCACGTGGATCGTTATGGAGGCAGATCGTGGCAGGGTGGCAGCAGCTTGGGAGGCTTTCATCCAGCAGTGGATTGACCACGGCTGTTGCTGCTGGTGACGATGAAGGACGGACTTCATTCAAATGTTTGCCGGTTAGAGGTCGCGCGGATTGGTTGTAGGGGAGAAGAGAAAGGAGGTCTGCAAACAGCGAAGCGCTATCGGAGAGTTCACCTCCCGACCTCTTCGCGCGACGATTACTCCCGAGCTGTGGTATGTGCCCTTTTGGCCCGGCACAAGCGTGCGTCCTTCATTCAGCGCAATGTTGGCGTGACTCTGTCTACGTAACAAACGCACGGCGCGCGAGATGGTGTGGAGTGACGAGGTCCGAGCATCTTCCACGCTGACCGTGGCAGCTGCGGTTAAAACTAAACTGAAACTAAACTATTTTTGTATATTACACGATAAGGCCCACTGAGCTATGTAGCTCTTTTTCATATGCGACCTGGCTATCGCAAATGAGAGCTCAAGGGCGTGGCTGATCACGTGGAAATGTGTCGCAGCCAAACACTCTAAATGCGTGGTGACGTCGATTCTAAACGTGGAGGGAAAAACCAGAGGACGCAGAGAAAAATCCACGCGATTATGAGGAGACACGCAAACTCCAAATATACAGCAGCAGGCATCAGGGTTGGCATCGAACCCACAACCTCCTGCATACCGGGCGAGGTAGTTAACATCTCGACACCGCGGCGAGCCGATCCATCGGAGTGAAATCAATTCGTCGTGAGCCCTTAAAAGTTATGCGCGTCCGCCGCCTGAAACACAACGGAGTACCACCGCCAGCGAAGGAAAACCTCCGGCAACTGTGACACACGCCGCACGGAGATGAAATCGATGCGCTAAACTATTTTATGTGGGCACAAATATCACGGGGAAGGGGCTTGAACGATGACACGGGCAAGCAGTGGCGCTGCTCTAATCGAGGGAAAGCCTCGATGGGTCGTTCTTTACGGTGCGGCGAAGGCAAGCGGATTGTGTGACGCGTTCCCGAGCACATCTTCAGAGCGGCTGCCACTCATCAGATCCAAAGTCACGGACGAGTGCGTATCAAGGCGAAAGACAAGCGATCTATACTGTCAACAGCGTAATGCCCTTGACAAAACACTCTGCTTGATTACACTACTGGCAGGCACCGCAGGTAAATTCAATTCCCCCTTCTCGTTAACCGAGGCCAGGGATTAAGTGGTCGGCGTGATTGCCAGTGGGATCGTTTGGTGCGGAGGCTCGCGGCTGCGGCGGAGGTACTTTTTGTTTTGGGACAATTTCCAAAAAGCACCCCGATCGGCGCGAAGAGCGCAACCAAGACGCTGCCTCGTGGTCCGCGAGCGTGAGCAGTCGCCTGCCGGAGTTCTCAAACAGGCAAAGATTCACCGCAGCAGAGTAAAAACTTGCGAAGAATTGATGTTTGAGAGAAGGAACGATGGGCGTTCGCAGCGTTTACCGCAAGGTGCGTCGGATCTTTTTACCAGCTCAAGTCTGCGCGGACCAAGGTCCACTTTGTCGAATGAGGGGTGGGAGACGTCCATAAATTGCGACTGCTGATGATTCAGCGTCGGTTCGCGGGCGGGCAACGCCGACCATTAACGCGCGTGCACACACGCGCGCGCGCTCGCTCGCGCACGCACACCCCAGCGCATCACGCCAAACTCATTTACCCAGCGTGGGAAGGCCCACGCGAGGTGATAATGCGACACCTCGCAGACAGGCGGAGGGTGCTTTGCCGCTCGCCGGAGGAGAGCGCCGCCGTGGAACAACGGGCAAGGTCCTCCAACTGACGAAAA